TATAAATCAGTATGCATATATTTGTTATTATCAAAATCCGTTGGTGGTTTAACCATTTAAGTGACCTTTAGACAGATTGTTGATTTGTAACAGGGTGATTTACGGTAACGAATGGGATCAGCAAAGGCTGCTGTACCAGGTAACCAACCCTTGCCTGTAAACTAAAGCAATCACGATCTAGCAGCATTACTCATTGCACTGGTTATCACTCTCAGGTTGGCCTAGACTCTCATTCTGAATCTATTACAAAGTTTGTGTAGTAGAGCCGGTCTTCTATACTGATCATTGATTATAAATATTGATCTTGATAAAGTTATTCTTTACATGTATAATCATCGCTGCCCTCATTGTCGTGCAGTCGTTGTGGGCCGTCATCGTCGGCTACCCACGACGGAATCCCGACCCGTTTACACTTCAGTAGATATCCGGCGATGAGTGGAATGTTTATAGGTTAGTAGGTTAACCAGTAAGAGACCCCCGTGTGTCGGGCTGCAGACCGTCCGTGTGTGTAACGGGCAGTAAATCCCTTTGATAACTTTGACCTGTGCATGTACGGTAATATTCAACAGGTGGCACCAGCTTTATTACCTACCGGTCTTTGTTTGCTCAGCATTGCAAGCAACATACAAAAACATGAAATAATGTGTTTAAACCAGTGAAGATATACAGGTTTAAAACCTGTCGCCTATGACGTGTCGCACATGTGCCGGAGACGAACAGTGTCCTTTTAACCCGCGTCTCTCAAGAGTCTGCATGTACCGCGACAGTCGATACAGCACAATGCCTGCAGGGACGTCGATCACTACCGATCAATACCCTTATCTTTCTGTGTACGTGCAGCCGGCCGACTGTCAGGGTGACTCAGCCTCCGATACGTACATATTGAAATGCAAGACACGACTCGAGTCTCCAAACACCATCAATCAGTGGCAACGTTTTGTCTTATATCGCCAAAATAGTCCATGCAAACGTAAATGTCCCTAGTTTGCTACTTGCATGGTCTCTATTGATCCATTCGTATATGTGCTTTAAGCTGCAGCACCAAAACCCAAAACGAGGTTTGCGCCAACTTAATTGCCTTCAACAGTAGCGTCTCTAATCCATGTTTTGGCAATTCATTTGTACCTTGATAATGGGTTTGGTGGCCCCAGGCAGTTGGTCTTGATAATGGGTTTGGTGGTTCTGAAGCCGACATTTATCGTCCCCTAGTTGTTAACTGTAAGGTCGAGGGATCGGTAGTTCATATCTACTCTGAGCTCTCGAGGCTTCTCTCAAATTCGTTTACAAGGATGAACCCGTCTCGCAGTGCCACATAGAACAATGGAGACATAGAACAATGATAATATGTGCCTAAGCCCATTCACTGATAGCCGTGGTCCTTCCCATCATTACCTGGATCTCCTGAATTCCTATCCAGTCAATCGCGGCCTTATCAAACAGGTCCCACTCCTCATTCTGGACCCCACCATTCCTGCCAAAGCCCCTACTTTCCATCTCCCCTCTTTACTTAGGTGCCCCTGTGTCGCCTTCTTCCTACCAATGTGTCGCCATCCACATCCGTCCCTTTGTATCCACGCCTCTACATCCCACCTGTATATGTCCCTCCCTCTCTGTCTCCTCATCACTACCTATAGATAAAATCCTTAATATCTGTGTTCCCTCCTCCTTTTCAAGACCCATCCATATATTGAATTGAATTTATAAATTAGATACCTACAGCTCCTTTTATCATTAATACGTACCATCTTCNCCAGCTCTCCCCCTCCGGCTCCCCCCTCCCATCTCTACGTCATCACAATGATCCCTACTGGGTTCATGGTGAGCACTATTCACTGCTTATTATCCTCCTCTGTGTCTATGTGGATTCCTTATCACTGCCTAACCCCCTTTCCCCTCCCCCTCCCAGTTGTATATGATTTCCCTCCACTTTGTCTGGCTTCCACTGTCGTTCCCCTCCCCATCCTCTCAGTCTAACCCTTGCTCCTCCCTCACTACCCGTGCTGTGTATACCCTCCCTGCTTAGCCCCCTCCCTGCCTTGGTCCCCATCGCTGCCGAAGTCCCGTCCCCCACTATCCCAGCCTCACGTGAACTAGGTGAGTCATGACCAGTGCACCGTCAGAAAATTCACCGAACTTTCTTTATCAGTGTTAGTCAGCTATATACGAGTTCTATTAGACCTCTGGAGGAAGGGGAAATGATACAGTCGGGGGAGGGGGCATACAAACGTACGCGCACGCAAACAATACGTGTGCTCGTCTAGATAACGACACACCAAGGTTAAATAGACGTTTCTGCGTTATTTCAGTCTTTCTGTAGTTGTCAGTCCGGTTAATTAATTATTTACCCTACTCATTGTTTCATCATCATCACAAAGATTATAGAATATATGTTATATGTATTTAGGTAATACTGAACAAATAAAGACAGACATTCCGATACGTAACAATTTTAAATCATTAGCAGTAGTAATTTAACGGAAATAACAACGGTTTTCCAAAAAAACCCACATGTGATTTAAATTCTGTTTTAGATTTTTTTTCTTTTTTTTTTTAAATCCGTCCGTAGTTGGTACGTTTGGTCTCTATTGTTAGGTCTGAAAACAACCCACATAGACACGTGCTGTACATTGTTGGAATAGCTGTTCGACTGAGCGAGCGAGGTCGCCACTGTCTATTGTGTAATGTCAAATATGTAAACTTATAGTTGACAGGTTCTGGTCTAGTCTGGTCTGCCCAGGCAGCTATGTTAATTTATACATTACTAAGTATACTTTCACATAAGTCTATATGAGGCTAGGCTACTTGCACTGAAATATAGAGCATGATATATGTACATACATATTCATGCTTTATGCATATTCAGTATTATTTACGCGTGTCTGCATCTTCTGTATAACTTTTCATATTTTGTACCATAAGTTACATTATTTATAAATGGCAATATAGAAAAACTCTGTAACAAAACTTGTATAGTATCTATGTATTTATTGTGAGTCATGGTTTTGTCCTTATCTGACCTATAGAAAGTATTGATAGGTATGAAAGGAGCGTTAACGTTGGGTATGTCACTTTAGGAGTACTATTTTATACTTCTGACCGTACAAGGGACTGACACTATTGAATATCGAGACAGTACAATACCTGTCTTCCAAATGATGGACGAAATAATTATACCTGTCATCGCAAAAAGCTTGCTCTATTTTTTTCAGACTGTATACCTCAAACTTGCTTTGCTTAATATGTGAATGGTTTTCTTTAGCAGTTCATTTCATTCGCCATGTCTACGAGAGAAAAAAGGTCAGAAAATCAGAATCATGGGAACGAGGCAATGACAAAACACAAAGTGAATTATAAATTCAACTTATCGAAATATACTTCATTTTATAAACCTCACGTCAAAATTAGCGTTAAACCGGAAGATGATTTTACTGTCGATGACGTCATTTAAACGTGACGTCATGGTGAGGCCTACATCATGAAACACTCAATTAACCACTGTAACTCAAAAACGTGAACCATGTTACCCTTCTTGGCCTTTGAAAATAGTTTACACAAATTATAGACACGAATATTACTTAAATATTTGGAATATTACATTTAACTATGAATGACCTCACTACAATGTGTACACAATTGAATAATACATGGAAGATATAACATTTTATAATATAATGAAATGTTCACTGTATGGACATACTGAACATTGATTTACCAGACACAAATTTTGCTGTAAAATATATTTTCATATTAGATTAATTGCTTTTTATTCTCCGGTTCTTCCTTTACTTTCTTTCTGCGTATCACACGAGGAGTCTGTGGATCTTCTGGTGTTCTAAACAGCTTATATCTTATTCAATATAAAGTACATAACTACACTGATATTTCTGCGACAAGTAACCGAAACGGAGCTCTGTTCCGTCTGTGTTTACTCTTGGGATCAATTACGTGGGTATATAGACATACATGAATGAAACTTGCTGACTCTACTGATAATGTACACGCACTTCCCAATACACACAGGTAAATATGTAAGGTCTACGTCGTTTTAACTGACTCACTGGAATCATAAACATTTAAACCAACCTTTACACGTCTTATCCAACTTGTACACGTTTATCTATCAAGTGTTATGTTGTAAGCGTGACAGTGTGCCAATCCCGACCATCCCTGGACTTATGAATGAAGTTCGTTCACTGGTTCACACTTTTATAATAAAAAAAATCCCCGTCGACAAATAGTCATAATTTCAATTCTAATTAGATTAAATCCTATTATGCGTTACCATCGTACGTATAACTACACTCTGATTTTGTTTTACCACAAATAGTGAAATACTATTTTAAGGGTTGATATTCTATTGTATTTGTGAGTTGTCGCATATCCGGGCTAAACAGGTCATTCACAGGATATTTTTTTTAAATTTAATAAGCTAGTGTATTTAAAATTGTGTAATCAATGTTAATAAGATATTATGTATGTAAATGTAAGTGAACGCTTTTTACAAAATTTATATAAATCGAACCCTGCATATGCACTCAACTTTCTTCATAAAATTCTACTAAACAATATATAGAATAACATGCCGTTGTAGTTTTATGATCATTGAGTTATAAAAATACAATGTGTCAACATTCTGTTTCTTTCCGTGATTAAACCTCGTATGATCATTCGTACATCCTTCGTGCTTGCCATCCATCCTCTTGGTACACCTACGTGAACTTCGGCATACATAGGTTTCCCCGTTCGGAGCCTCACGTGACCGAAATCCTTGCAGACGACCTTGCCTTCGCTGATATCCGGCGAATTACAAATGCATCATTTTAAAAAGTATAGTTCTTCGTAACTGAAATGTTTATCTAGTAACAGTCTTCTATAACAATAGAACTAGTCATTTATGTAAAAAGGATATACATTGTTTAATCGTTTCTTTGGTATTACAGCTAATATATAACAAAACATACTAATAATTTGTCTGATTATATTCATACACCACACACAGGTTCGTCGGGGACTATTTTCGAGTGACGAGATAAATCGCCATTGAAAAACTAGCTCATAGATTTGTGTATCACTTGTGTTGGCAAGAATGTCCCTGTGTTCAATATGGATATGTGATCGTTACAAAGGTTAGTCTGTTCGCAGACTATTCCAGTTAGGGTTTTATTACCCTCTGAAGGACAGAAATTATTTGTGTGGAGGACTGTGGAAAGGATATGTCTTACTCAACTTCGGCTTCTTGGGTTCTTTCACCATGTTTACCGAGCATATTGAAAGGAATGATAGTACTGTGTCAGATATGACGGATGTGGGATCAGTCACAAGGTGCTGTAGGTGTTTGCGTTATTTACAGGACACTGCAAACGGGGATCCGCCTTACGCAGTTTCTATTCCCATCCTTTCTATTCAGGGACCTAATTTTCATTCAAGTCGACGAAGAAATAGGTCATACTGTGAACACTTTTTGTGGTACCACTCTTTAATCATACAGCAAAACACGTAGCAAATGTTACACGTAGCAAGTGGAATACTTATTTAGAAGCATCGTTAATTTAATCAATGACATTAGTGTGCCTGACTCTGTAGACACGTAAGGCACTGTGTCGGACTATGTATTCCATTCGTAAGGAAGCTGAAACAAAAGCAATTCGCCACAAGATTTCGGATTGCGAGTTGAAAAGTTTTACAATCATGAGTCATATTTGGATGTATTCTTGACGTTAAACAATGACCATAAAATATGGTATTGGTATTGAATAGTGCTATTAAATGTACATAACTAGTTTGTGACTTGGATAATTAGATCCATTTTATTTATTAGTTTGTTGTGTGCAATTTTATTTCCTTTTGAGTGTTAATTGAATGAAGATGAGTAAAAACCATTCTTCAATTGCTATAAATGGAGATTTATCTCATAAACAGATTGAAAATGCAGAAGATACGACAGTTCAGGGGACTGTCAAACCATCGTATTCCATAGGTCGACAGAGACGATTACATACAGGGATGGGCCAGAAAATCACACACAAGTCTGATAAAGGAGATTCTCAGTCTTATTCTGCTGATCAGAGCCCTGTTTTAAGAACAAACAATAGGAATAAGATACGGGATCGCAGGAAGTGCATTTCAGAGGATATAACAGGAAAAGTAGAATCGCAATATGAGAAAAGTGGGAAGTCTTCGTGTTTTCCAGGACGATTCCCGACGAAAGACAGCGGTATCAAAAGAGATAGGTCATCAAGTATAAAATCTGATTCATCAGATGTTGAACCTGCAGGGAAAAGTTCACAAAATGTAGATAATAAATCAAGGACTAGTGAGAGATCCAATGACTCGAGTAACAACTCTGACGATTCTGTGACAAAATCATTTCAGATCAAGAAAGTTGAGGAAAACGAAGATATGTTTAGAAAGGAGCGAAAGTTTAGTTCTTTTTCTGGACGAAAATTAAAGCAGCCAGCTAAAAGGAGATCATTTGAAGTATGTACTGTAAAAAGTAGTAGTCCAAAACCTGTTCCTGAAGGTTCCGCTACTGATTTGGATATTAATGACACGGACAAACCTGCAATATATCCAGAGGATATCTCTTCCCAAAGTACTGCAGATAGTGCTATTAGTCTTGGTGTACTCAGTAGTACATCCATTAAAGAATTGGAATCTGGTGAGGTGCGTAGAGATTCTCTGTTAGATGCAGGAATAGCTGAAAAGATTGTGAAGAAAATTGATGGTGAGGTTGCGAAAAAGGAGGACGAGGTTGATGAAAAAGCAGAAAAGGCTGTTGCAACTTCTCCAGATGGACGTTTTATGAAATTTGATGTGGAAATTGGCAGAGGCTCATTCAAAACTGTTTATAAAGGATTAGACACTGAAACAGGAGTAGCAGTTGCATGGTGTGAATTACAGGTACATAATATTCCATGTTTACACTACAGGGCTTCTTTAGTTTTGACATTAAACAATCATTTTAAGGGTGCACAATTTCATGTTTAATTATTTATAGGACAATCAGTGGACAAAATTTGAAAAATTCAACTAGTCCACTTTAATTTTCATAGTAAATTTGAAATAAATTGGTCATTTTCATTAGCCCTCAAATAAAATCTTTGATATATTGCTTGACTGGGACTGGGAAGATATAAAATTGTGAAAATTGTTTTCTGATCATTTTATTTGTGATTATCCCCCTTTGGTGAGTGATATTCAAGTTATTTATTTTCATTTTTTTTATTGTCGCTATCTAGTATTTAAATGTAAAAATAGCTAAATTACTACCATCTAATGCATACTAAAGATTGATTGATCATTACTGATGGAGTGTGATTATCGTAAATCTTATGTTTTATTACTGGTGGCTTTGTGAGAAGGGAGATAATAAGTTAGATGTGTTATCTTGAAAAGCTGGTGGTCTGCAGAAGTAGGATTTTTTCCCCAGAATATAATGTTTACATGTTAACAACCACTGTAATCAGTGCCCACTATGTTTACCCATGTAATATTAATATTTGTATAAAATTAAGCAAATAAATTGCAGGTGACCCAATTTTTCAAAAAGGTTTTATCACATCTATAGGCAATAACCATGAAATGCTGTAGGTCTGTGGGAATAGTTTACTTCAAAGTTGTCTAAGAAGTGATGTGTATGATTCAGTGATAATATTGTAAAATAGTGACGAGTAAAAAAGGGGTCGGTAAAATTATTTTAGTTCCTTTATCAGATTAGGTACAACAGCGCATGTGGGTAATAATAATCATGCATTTGGTTATAGGTTCTTTTAATCTCATGAAGTAAAAAAGGGTTTTATTCTTTCAACTAATTCCAATAGATAACAAAAATAGATAACAAAATGAAATACATTTGTACACAAAAAAATATCAATTCTGTTGTCTTACTTTTTGTGAAAATGACGTGCAGTTCTCCATTGACTTCAGTGTGTAGTCAAAGGGGCCATTCAGTGCAAATGTGACAGGTAAGCATGATGTTTTCCTATGTGCTATTTATAGCTACTTTACAACACACTAAGCAATGGAGGTGATATCTATATACAATTTGTCATTTTCACAAAAAATTAGACAACTGAATTAATATACTTTTGTGCACAAATGTACTTCATTGTATTTTTTATTGGATTTGTTGAAAGAATGACACCCTTTTTTTGTTGTTCATAATGTGTAAAAGAACTGTGTTTTTATTTCATTTTATTCCTCATTTCAGTAACAAAATTGTTACTCAAATGGGTTACTGTTACCCAAATGCAGGATTATTACCCATATGCGTCATTGTGCCCATCCTGTTTATTATTATTACACATAGTTCTAGTTCTATGTTAATCATGTAACAATAATGCAGGAGTTGATTTAGTCACTTGTAATTGGCCCACTGGTCTTGACCAGTGATTTTTTGTTGAAGTGCACCAGTGACTTCCGTAAAATATAACAACCTGAAAACTTGTATGACTATTTGCAAATGTTGAAAACAAAAATTACCAAGGGTCTTTTTGAGCCAGTTGGCATCAAAATCAACCAACCCAGTGGACCATCTAAAATACTTTTCTGGAATTTGGGAAAATTTAACGCGAAAACGGATGTTTTTTTTGGGGGAAAATTCTATTACAAGGGCTTTTACAGTAGAAATTTACCCAAACCCAGGACTTAAGGTTTTGTTTAAGGGTAGCACAGAATTTAATTTATAATTGGCACAGAAGTATGAAGCAACAATACATTGTATAATGTCCATGGATATTTTTTTTGGCATAGTATTTGCCGTTGCGAGAAGACACCATATTTCTCGTATGATTCATGATCAGCTAAGCATTTGCAGACGACTTGCATTCTATACGCAAAAACAATGACTGGGTCAAAATGTCCGGAATTATAAACGGTAATCAGTTGGGAATTTAAGCAGGGCGATTGGGAATTATTTTGATGAAATCTCATTGGGAATGGGATCAGTAACCGATCCCATTTATATAGGCTGAAAAATCTCTGTATGTACATATCATTTTCTTGGTCAAGGCCTGGTGTTTGAAAGTATAAGTATGTCCATAAGAAATCATATTTATATGGTTGTGATGTTTGAATTCAAAATTCCTATGTGAACCAAATTAATCACTTGCTTTATTTGGCCCCCACTTTTGACAAGGCTAGCACTAACACTGGTCCAATATATATATATAAATTTATAAAAATGTTAGTCTGTGGTCTGAATTATTTTGTTTTATAACAAAATAATGATACTTAGTATAGCATTATTTATATATTGTTGTAACCAAAGTAGAGGCAAAATATATATATATTTGGAAGGTGTTTTTTGTATATTACTAATTTAGTGATTATTTCCTCCCTTTATGTAAGTTTAAAAAAAGTGTTTCATTCCCATTGGGAAATGGTCCCAATTTTGACCTCATATATATGTGTAAATAATCTATATATTAGACCATGTACATAATATATAGGTCCTAACGTTTTAGGGCCCCTGAGCTTTGCTCATCAAGTGACCTATATTCTGATTGCTTTCCGTCGGTTGTCGTCCATCGTGCGAAACCTTTTCACATTTCTGACTTCTTCTCAAGAACCAGTGGATGGAATTTTTTCACACTTGGTCAGAATCATCCTTGGTAGATGAGGCTACAAAATTTGGATTCCTACGTGTCTACCCCAACCACTGGGGCCAGGGCTGGGCCCCAAAGGGAAAATTAACCAATATTACTAAAATCTTCTTCTCCAGACTCAGAGGTACTACAGTCATTTTCTGTGCATAGATGGAAAAATCATCAGACACTTTATTCAAATTGTAAATTTAAGGAACCCTGGCCATGGGCCATCCATTCTCCCTTGGGGAGGGGGTAAAGTTTACTATAGTTTATATAGAGAAATAACACTTGGGTATATTTTGACAATTTTCTTTAAATTAGGAAATTATTCTTACTTGGTGAGTACCTTTAATATTTAACTCAGGTGACCGCTAAGGCCCTTGGGCCTCTTGTTTAATATGGATGATGAGCACACTACAATGTAATTTTATGGAAAACAAAAATTGAAGTCAAAATGTGTTTTAACTTTTCAGGACAAGAAATGGAACAAATCTGAAAGACAAAGATTTCGGGAAGAGGCTGAAATGTTGAAAGAACTGCAGCATCCAAACATCGTCAGATTTTATGACTCCTGGGAAGAACCAAATCCAAGGAACAGGAAAGTTATTGTACTTGTTACTGAGCTCATGACTTCTGGTACATTAAAAACGTAAGTTCCTCAATAGAGAAATCAAACCTTCATGATACTGATATATAGGATCAAATAAAGAGACATTTTCACTTGGGCCAAATCAATATGCCATTGTTTTAGGCATTGGCTTTGAATAAATTAGGGTATATTTCATCAAGGTAAGCAAAAGTTGTTATAAGAATATTTCGGATATATTTTGGTAGATTACAAATTGCAGTCACACTTTTATTTTTGTGTGATTTCATCAGCATACATTCAAACCTGTAGGGTAGACACCAAAATGTTATGGTAGGTCAGGGTTAGACACTAACTGTTTTGCTTGGTTGTCCACAGGACTAGTTGAATAGATTAATTACTAGTCCTTCATCAATGAAACTAGTCCAAGATTTCCTGATAAGAAAACATCAAAAGTAATTGACTGTAGGGGACTTAAAATAACTACTGCTATAAAAATATGGTGAAGTTCAGAGAATTTTGACAATCATCATGCTATATATATCTTACAGGTGATTCACTTGTCCTTGCTAAAATCTGCTAGTCAATCTGCTAGTCTAGGACTAGCGGAGTAGTGTTAGTGTCAACCCCTGTATGTAGATCTATACTGGTAGCTGTAAATTGAGCTTAATGAACTTTTTAAAAATTTTGCTTCCATGTAAAAGTGAAAGAGGCTAATGAGCTACAGCAAGCCTTTGTCTTGGGTTTTCACAATTATAACCATTATTATTATCCATATGTTGTAAAGCGCCTTAGAGTAATTTTACAAATTATATAGGGCGCTATATAAATGCTGTATATTATTATTATTATTATTATGTCATGCATCCTCGATACTCAAGGGGTTACGCTCACATTCACTACAAACCCCTGGAATATGTCATAGCAAAATTGAAGGCTCAGTGTTCGCCACCTTGTTGATAAGACAAGAAGACTAGTTTGATCCTTTGATATACATCAAAATAATCTTGCGGTCGTGAAACAATAAAAAATGTCTGGCGTTGAAGTCGGACGCACCTCTGTAATGTTCGAAGGACAGGTATATCAGCCTAGCGATTGGGTAGGTTTTTTCAACCTGAAACCAATCCAACAGCTATCTTCGTGCCTTCAATTTCGCTATGGCATGTTCAAGGGGTGCGAATGCAAGAGCGAAAGTGAGCATAATCCCTGGAGTATCGAGGATGCAGTATGTGCACAAGTTGATATTCTACAAGATACTTGGTCATCAAAATTTCGATGGCTAGACTGCAGGATAGACTTTGACTAGATACCCTTTAGTATAAATTCCTATACCTGATACATTGTAATTAAGCCTAATATTATATATGGAGATGGCAGACACTCTCATAAACCACAAATCTACTACACATATGATATATAATAAAATATATGTAGACTGTAACTAGCAAGAGATTTTTAGGGGATCCTCTTTCAACAATTTTTTCTCGAATATGAAACATGAACATTTATGTTTGGAGGGAAATACTGTAAGTAATTTACAATGACACAATATGTGTGTGTTTTGTACATGATGCAGTTTTGTTTCAAGTTTACATGAGAAATAGTTCCATGTTCTATCATTCTTTCTGTGTAAACTGTCTTTGCCATGACACTCGTCTAATCTCATGTTTTTAAATAGATTTTTCTGTATGAATTTTCATGTGATCTGTAACCTTGATTATTTATATAATGTTCAACCATCTAAGAAAGTGTCTATTACATATATTGAAGGCAATTTAGTTTTCCAGATATATACTACATTTCTATTTGAATAAACAAAATGTATCTCAATTTCTCTGATAAGATGCATCCTGCAAAACATTTCAACACGTAATTATTATCAGTTCTGAGATTTGCAATTTATATGGATCAAAACATGTCTGCCTGGTTATATGTGTTTAATTACAAGCATTTAAATTTAACTTTGTCCAATATACATTAGAGGCTAATTCAATTAAACGGTCACTGGGAAAATTGAAAGTACCGTTCTTAATTAGTAATTTATCAAAGTATGTTTCATAGTACTATGCTATGTGATTTTCTGAATGTGCCAATTTAATGACATTTAAATTAATTTGATATTACTGGATTACAACTTCTTATATTGGTGGTTTCAGGTACATCAAAAGGTTGAAAAAGATTTATCCCAAGGTACTGAAGAATTGGTGTAAGCAGATATTGAAGGGCCTTTACTACCTGCATATGAGGACACCTCCAGTTATTCATCGAGATCTTAAATGTGACAACATCTTCATCACTGGTACAACAGGATCTGTCAAGATTGGTGACCTAGGGTTGGCAACGCTGAAGAACAAATCATTTGCTAAAAGTGTCATAGGTAAGTTTAATGATTTTGTAGGCATCACCTTTTTAATTAAGCGACTTAATTAAGAAATGTTGTGGAATGTTTATTTGATACACAACATTAGATGTGTGGCCAAAAAAAGTTTAATTTTGTTTTTGTTTTCCCTCCAATGCTACTTGATACAGTTTATTTTAGCCTAAAGGAAAGAACACAGAATAGCATGAGCGTGTGTAAGTATTCAGTTACATGATCATATCAGTGGACTCAAGTTTTTGTTTTCACTTTTTTTTTATTGGATAACAGCCCTTATCATCAAGGTATGTTCTTGCTGATTGATTTGTGGAAAAAAATGCATTATTTTTTTAAAATTTAAAGCAAATCTGTTTGTGTTTGATTTTAACATCAAAAGTACCATAAAATCACTAAAAAAATTAATCCAAGTTAAGACCAAACAGAATGTAAAGGACATCTAAATAAATTTTTGAAGAACATGTACATTTTGTCCTATATAAAGTATAAATTAGTGATCCCTCTGAATTATGAGGAAGAGCTGCTGTTGTGAATTGTTCACTTTTGCACAGTTATGCCTTGCCTTTTTCCATTTTCTTATAGAACTGTCATCTCCCTTATTCTGAGGAAGGAGGTAAGAATGCAGGTAATCAGGTACTAGGCATGACCTTTTACCACTGTTCAATTTATTTTCAAGTTTGTTTCTTATTGCAGATGCAGATATACGCAACCTGATGAAAAATACTAATCTGGGTTTCCCTTTACCCATCTTTTCCCTTTGTAGACTGCTGCGAACGGTACAAAGCACCATCTTTATATAATTTAAGGTACGCCAGAATTTATGGCTCCTGAAATGTATGAAGAGCACTACGATGAGTCTGTGGATGTGTATGCCTTTGGGATGTGCATGTTGGAGATGGCAACGTCAGAGTACCCATACAAGGAATGTTCTAATGCAGCACAGATCTACAGACGGGTGACAAGTGTAAGTACAGATTATTGTCAGAGTAATACACGAAAGACAGGCCTGGGATAAAATTTTGCAACCCAGCAGAGGCACTGTGCCTAGTAAGTACCCAGAAGTCACTTGGTACATATTATTTCTACTCGGCACCCCATTAAATGCAATATATTATGATTTTTATTATGACTGAATAGATATACATTGTATAATTAACATGTCAGCAAATTTTGCTAAAATTAGGTCTCTTTTTGATCACTTTGGTCGGGTTCCAAAGTTGTATCAACACTCGGTTGTTCTCAGACCATAACATAAAGTTAGCCTAGGTATGCATGGATTTGTTTGTTACAAGTTTAATTCAAATGCAATGCATTTCAACTTATGGGTATACATGCAATTCTGTCTACCTACTAAGAGCTATTTCAGTTAAATGATTTGGGATAGAGGTCGCTTTTTTTGTGATTACAGTCAACCACATTTCCCCCAGACACATGCATGCCTACAGACTGATTAAAATGCAACTAATGATGTTATTTGAATGCAGTTATTACCAAAGTTATTTTTGTTTTTGCTGGTGACATAAACATATATTTTTGATAATAAACCTTTTTGACCTGGCATGAATTTATGTTTTTTATTACCATTTTGTTTAATAGGGAGTAAGACCAGAAGCATTTTCCAAAGTGGATGGTGCTGAAACCAAGGAAATCATAGATGCCTGTATCAGATCAAAAATAGAAGACAGGTAAATTATCAAATCATCTGTGCATACTATTTTGCCACAGAGGTTTCTCTGCAATAGAACTAGTCTTATTTACCCACAATGCTCATGTTGATGCCATCCCTTATTAGAGTTTGAAAAGTGAAAAGTGATAATTATAATGTGATTGTGTGCTTGAAACCTAACTATCAGAAAGTGAGCTTTATGAACTATTTTGTATATAAATTTTTGGTTCATATTTATGTAATCTGATAAGAAAAAACAATGATAGTGAAAACCATTACTGTTCAATTGATGTATCCGTATAAACAACCTAGTACACGGGTTCAATGGCCATCACTTGGCCGTTAGCTTTAGTAATGTCCGTCTAGTACAATTGATAAGGAACCAACAGGGCCAGTGACCTTCACGAAAGTCAGTACATATACAAACTATATTAATACACAGTCCTGACACTTTTTCGCCCTATTAAATGTTTCAGAAACCAAGAAACTACCAAGTTTTTAATAATGATATGTTTAGGTGAGATTGTGTCATAATTCAAATAGACCATTGTACCATCCAACCATTTACCCTAAATTTGCACAAGATGTATGTAGTTAAGAATATGTTATATATAATCTTTCAGAATATGTTATATGTATAATCTTTCAGATACACAGTGAAAGATTTGCTCCAGCACAACTTCTTTCTAGAAGACAATGGACTCAAAGTTGAAGTGGTAACACGAGAGGAAGAAGAAATTGACGCTGCATCAGTTCAGCTAAGACTGCGTGTTGTTGACCCAAAGAAACGTAAAGACAGACACAAAGAAAACGAGGCCATTCAGTTTGACTTTGACATCGAAAACGATGTGCCAGAAGAAGTTGCTCAAGAGATGGTACAAGTTATTTCAGAGTCATAATTTTAATTTTGAGTGAAACGTTAAGAGCTATCAAGTCTCGAAGTGGTAAACACGACATTGTTCAATTTATTTCATGTTGGTAACAAATATACTGAAACATTACGAATATAAATAACTCGGTGATAAACTCTTTGAAATGAACCAGTGTACCTTCTTCAGATACATGTATTACCAAAAAATGAATTTGCATTTGTAACTGTTAAATTGCACACATAGATAAAAAAACATTAACAACACTGGTAAAAGTAAAATGAGGTTTCATTAGATAATTGTCTTTTCAGGTCAAGTCAGGTTTTCTTCAAGAGGAAGATGTAAAGATTGTAAGCAAGCAGATACGTGATAGGATAAGTGTGGTGAGGAGAGATATAGGTCGCAAAGCTGCAGAGGCTCAAAGCAAAAGTGAGCAACATGGAGGTTCACAGCTGCAGCTTCATCCCTCTCAACAGCAGATTTCCCACAGTACCAGTACCACTGATGTGTCGACAATGGTGGACAGCCAGGCCCCATCACAAACACAGCAACAGTCACAGCCACACTTGCACCAAACCACTGTATCCCAAAGCCAGGTTGTCCAGTCTCAATCTACTGTCTCTCAGTCCTTGTCTCAGCATCAGTCACTCACACAGCAAACCTACGCTTCCAGTGAAGAGGCTCTGGGTAAGAGGATTTTCTGCCTGAGGATTTTCTGCCTATCATTTAGTATTTTCATTCCTCTTTGTCCTTAAAGGCATGGGTATTTTTTCAATGTTGTTATTTGAAGGTTTATGATATAAGGTGACATATCAGGTGAAATAAATAACAATATTTATGGCGGGGTCATAAATAACGAAGAGTTCATGTATACATCGGGGTTTGGGAAATTGTAGTGTTTATTAGCAGAAGCCTATTTGTTTATAACCTGTATGATAATTATATTTCTTTTTTAAATAGCCAGTGCAAGTCCTGATGGTGAGACGAAACCTCCTGCCCAGCATTCCCAACCTCTACCACAACAGGTATTGCTTGCTATAGTACTCCCATGTTGACAGGGATATATATATAAGTATGTGTGCATCTGGAATGTAACTTGTAGTCGTTCAGAATATTTCAAAACTTGTCACTTAAAAATAGAATATGTTGCATACATTATTACATGTCTTTTTGATATCAATCAACAGAAATTAGTTGTCAATAATGTTTACATTGTCAGTGAAACATTTTAAAATGCTAAGTATAAGTTAAAAAAACTGGCAGAATGTATCAACTTTTGATCCTGTTCATTTGTTAACATCTCTGTTAATCTCGTATTTTCATTGTCACATGTTTTACTTTTGTATACTCTTCAAGGGAGAATTATGAATTATTATCACTTACGCATTCAGATGAAATTATTATGATACCATTTTCATGTTTCTTGACAAATTTTAATGATATTTGAGTTGAAATAAAATCATACACACAAATTCTTCTTTGGCATGAGAAAATTTCTAGCTAAGATGAATCATTTCATTATCATTTTTTAGATCAAAGCCTTAATAATAAACACCCAATTAATCTCCATTTCTATCTAGCAGGCCAAACCTTTGCAAGAAAAGATGGAGGTAGAACCAATACAGGATGGCCAGAGTATACAGGTATTATTTTTAATCAATCAGTAGCCAGATTAACAAAATTTTACAACTTACTACTAGTTAGTGTGCTTCCTGAAATTCTAATACTAAAGAATTTGCATCACTTGTTGTGGACTTCTGCTGCGCTAGAAAGATAATCATGTTTATCTGAACATGTCATATTTTTTTCAATTCTTAACATTTAAACTTTCATTCACAATAATTTAGTGCTTGTATTCTGATGGCATTTCTCAAAGAAATGATAACAAAAAAGTCAGTGATTAAAACTTACCACACTGTAATACAAGCATAATGGAATTTCAAGAACATTTGCATATGGTTATTAGTTGCATATTTTTATCAAGAATATGATTAACTTTGATGAGAAAATTAAATGCATGACCAATTCTGTTTATTTCGTTTTAATAAAGGAAGTTGACAAAGTACATATTCTTCATAAAATTTGGTAGAAAGGATTTGTGATTCTATATATATTTGTGGTATTTACAATTGGTGTATTAAAACTATTAAGTTATAGACATGCTGTTTCAAATTTTTGTGTAATAATTTCAGCATGCAAGTTTCTACGTAACACAATTGCATTTATGTTCTAGATTAATTCTTGTTCCTTTCTTGTAAATAATGATTATTAATGAATTCAGATTTGTGTTTGCTCTGTTTATCTTTCCCTGTTTCACATTCATGTAGAAATTTGAATTTCAGTGGCTGTACCAACATACACCTACCAGTGTTGTGTTTAGACCAATGTTCCCTGGCAATCCTGATTCATTCTGTTGTCCTTTTGTCACAACTCATTGGTCTGATCCTACTCCTCATTGTTATTCACACATCTACAGGTACCTGGTCACTCAGCGTTATCCCTGGGTCCCGTAGAAGCAATGTCTCCCATGAAACCCGTAGGAACATCACAAAATAATGCTGCAGGGTCATCAAGTCGAATTCAAATGAAGGTGTGATAAATAGACATTAACTGTCGTGTAGTATACTAACCTGTAGCCCTTTGTTTTTAGTTGCCTTTTTTAATTGCAGTAATATTTCATTTCCGTCTTTTGTTTTGTGATGTTCTTCTTTATTTTCATTTTCTGCTTTATTTTTCTGATGCCTTTTTCTCCTGTTTTGATGTGTGAGGCAGTACTCCTTTTGCTGGTAATTTTCTGGTGTCACCAGTGGTCACAGAATTCACCCTTGTATCCATCATAGGTTTCAAGTATCTCTTTAATACTCTTCTTTTGCACATGGTTTCAAGATGATTGCACTATTCAATATAAACATCACCTGACTTAAACTACAGAATATTGATCAAATATTTTAAAAATCCCCACATTTGTTTATCCTGCATGTGTAGTTTTCCCCAACTCATAGTAGATATTAGTTATCGTGAGGAATATGCTTGATAGTATTATAAAATTCCACATTGCATATGACCTTAAATGACCATAGCTGTTTAGGATGTTAAACAATACTAAACCAAACCAAACCAAGCGACCAATGAAAATCTCCCTTTGAACATCTGAGTGATGAAGAAGCCTGTTATTGTTGATGTTTTTTTTTTACTGCACCTTGCTATTGGGCATGTTTCATTAGTTTACATTTTAAAGCACATTCATGGTTTTTTTTTTGTGTTTTTTTTTAGTAAGGTCTGTTCCATAGTTACTTGTATGGGAGATATCCAAAGTTGTACCAATGAACATCTACTTGATAACTGTTTCTGTGAAGAACTCCATACTTTCTGCTTTTAATCCTGTAAACCTGGAACAACTTTAATATATATTGAACTTTATACACTTTGTCCTATAGTATATATATATGATGTTAATAACTCCATACGGCATAAAAACACAACATACAAAACATTGCATTTTTTTCATGGCTTATATTTGATCTCAATGGAACAGCTTTCAAGCGAGCAATATGTCAATATTTGTGTATCATGATTTGTTGAAGTTCTTTCTGCTGTATACCTTATACATTTTTGTATACCTTGATTTAGGTGTTGTTTTGTTTGTTTGTTTTTCTGTTGTGTTATTTAAACATTGAAGTGTTAAGAGAAATAACAACATAATGAACCTTTTTTCGCTGCCTGATAATATGGTGTACCAGTAGTTTTGCGTTGTTTGATCATGATTCTCATTTGATCAGGCTGCCAACCTGGAACAACTGAACATATCCGCTGCTCAGCAACATCAGCAACAGACCGGAGCATCTAAGCCTATCCAGTCCAGCAGTGTGTCTGCCACTCCTTCCTCTACAATCTCTAATAGCCTGTCTTCTGGAAACCTCAACGATGAACACAGAGAGAGGTACATGTCTTTACTGGGTTTTCTATAGGGAATGATGGCACATCTATTGGGATTGTAAGATATAAAGAGCTTAATACATTCTTCATTGTAATCTGACATGGCCTGAATTTGAAGAGTAGAGGAGTTAACGTCCTAGGGTGGTGAAGGAATTAATATGAATTAATTTATCCACATTTTGGGGTTCTTAGAAAGTTCTTGGCAGAATTTGATTTTGTACACAAAGCTGTACTTAAAATTCACAACATTTATAATTTGACCAATATTTAACACTTATTAAGGATTCAGATCAACAATTTGTCCAATCCAGATCCTTGCTCTGTGATTAGTACTATACACAAACTGTTGCTCTGAAGAATTTCTAGACTTGCATAAAACGTATTGCTAACAGTATGAAGTTGAGTGATGAATGCATGTTTAGTTCGAATTAAAATCCTATTGTTTTTTACATCTTGAATTTTTCTCAGCGAGAGTGAAATGACTGGTAAAGGGGAAGACAGAAAAAGACGAACTCGGCCAAAAAGACGAAAGACATTGGAAAGGGCTCCAAGACTAACAATTCTTAGTTATGAAGCCGACGATGAGGAAGTAGAATGCCGTTTGGACTTATCAAACAGAAACACAGTCACTTTTAAATTTGCATTAGAAAATGACAAGCCAAATGAGATTGCTGAAAGTTTGGTAAGTTTCCAAGTCTGACGGTCAAATCATATCTATACATCAGTAAATGAAAACTTAACTTCAGCAAAGTCTTAGTAAAGAGCTATATTATCTGAAGAAGATATGTTTGAATTTGCAGAGATACAAAAAACTGAGTTCATGAAGAGGTATACTCATCTTAATTCTTTCTGCAGGTACAAGAGGACATACTTCCAGAAGTACAGTCCATAATGATCATCAAACTTCTCCAAGAGGTGTTTAAAATGGTGACAGAGGATCCAGCCAAGGCTATGCATGTTTGTCTGAGCTACGTCAGCACACCCTCATCAAGTCCAAGCTCTATCAGAAAGGCCAGGCCTCCCACTGATTCAGATGCTGCAAAGGTATGGACATATTAATGATTCACATTGTACATATCTAGCACTATTAACAATGTCTGTATGCAATATAAATGTATAGAAAAATCAAAACTGAGAATGTCATGTTGTGTTATAAAATTTGGTTTTGATTATGTGGAATTTTGTGAATACAAGTTGGTATTTTTACCTTGTAGTTGAATTTTTACAATAGATATTATAAACTGCAGTCATTTTGAGAAATAATTGATTCAAAAATTTTGACAAATTCAAGAATGCTGGTGTTTATAATTCCGTTTACTTTTTGAATCAATGCATGGAAACAAGGGTGATCAATGGATTTCTTTGCATATTGCTAAAGGTTTGGAAAAACAAAATGAGAGGATTATGGAAGCGCAGATACTTGAAGGTGTGTTACATTTAGTAGGTTACCACAACATTAGATTATTTCTTCTGTTGCATGTGAGCTTACAGATGTACACGCTAATGCCTTTTGTTTTAGATATACTGTACAGTGTACTTGGATTATTTCACTTCAGGCTTATGTACTTTATTTTTTCGCATCAAGTTGAATTTCATATTTTCACCACAAACTCCATTATTATCCATCTTGTTGTTAAGGTGATCATATACCTTTTTCTAAAAAGAAAATCAGTCATTGAAACATAATATTAACTGGCATATATAGGATGATAAAATAATTAGTATGGCAATATGTTCATGTATTAGATCTATATAATTTGATCTTTTGTAACTAAAAATCAGCTGTTGATTTTATTAAACATACTTCATCTTTTTCCATCATTCCCCTCAAAATGTTTGTCCAATCAATGTGTCTGATTTACCCTTCCTCATATTTTCAAGTAGCTGAAATGTGTTAAATTCTACCTTTGATAAATGAATATTTTTGTTTGCATAACCACCTCTCCCCTCCCATGTCAATGTGCAAAGCGTCAGGCCATGGTATATTGATGGGCAACATTTTGGCTTGTTTTAATTGTAAAATGAAGAAAATGTGCAATGGGTCTACATGAAAACAATTTTGGTCCTTGCACAGAATGAGTTTCTACTATTGAGAAATAGATCACTGAAACTCATTTCATTCACATAACCCTTATGCTTAAAGTTGGTTTATTTGCTCATTTTGGCCAGACAATAGATATATAATCCGTTGTTAACTCCAAAGTAGGATGTTGTATCACATTGAATAAATGTTTTATTCCAGGATGTTGTCAAAAAACTATTTGATTATTTCGATACAAAATTTGAATATTTAAAGCAATTGCAGGGTTTATTTAATAAGTTCATATTAAGATGCTTACTTTTACTATTTGTAATATACTTAATTACCTGGTGAAAAAAAAACCCATTTCACTTTCTTTTCAGAAACTCTTTGATGGTGAACTGGAACAAACATCAGATGATGGTCGACAAGAGGTTGGAGTTCATGTCGTAACTGAAAGGAAACAGGATGAGGCAGCCAGAACAGAGGAGTCCCGTGTGGTAGAAAGCAAAAACAGAAGCTTCATTGTGAGCAGAGTTCCAGAAAAGACAGTGTTAGATTCTAAAATTTCTGAGGATGATGGAGGGGAATGGGACAATTATGTGTCACCAGAAAATACACAGAAATCGTTGCCATCGTCTAGCACAACAACAATTAACCACTATCCTGCAGATGGTGATGGCTCTACACTTTCAGATTCAGAAAAATCATTAAAGGGATCATCAAAGGTTCCTGTGGACATAAGTGATTTGAATGAAAAACTAAATCAGCTAACACAGAAGTCTGCACCAGGTCAAGGTGTAGGCTCTCTTCAGCTACCCGAAGGTACTCCATTCCCACCACAAACAACAGGAAGTGGGGCTGCTCCAACACCTGTTAGTGACATACACGGTAGTATGGTGGACCTCCAAAACCAGGGTAAACAGTCAGATCAACAACAATCCAAACCAGTTCAGACTTCACAGGCACAACCTCAACAACCAATTCCACAGAGTGTGTCCGGGGCAACAGTGCAATCACAGCCTCAACAGTCTTCAGATGCATCTGGTCTGTCTGGTTTTCAGCAACAATTTCAAGGGCAGAGCCAGAACTCCCAGGTTGGTTCTCATGCAATGCCACAGTACATGACCCAGGCTCAGGGTTTGGAATCGAGTGTTGGTAGTATACCACAACAGCAACAGATGTTTCCTCAGTACCCTGGAATGATGATGCCACATCCGACAATGTATTCGGCAGATCCATATATGTTGCAGGTGCATTTTTATCAACAACAACATGTTCTTCAGCAGATGGCCTGGAGGCAGTTACAACAGCAACAGAATCAGCAAGTGCAACAACAACCCAGTGCACAGTCAATGAATCAGTTCGGACCACAGATGTTTATGCCACCAGTTTTCATGCCACCAGGACAAATGGGACAGATGGGCTTTTATCCTCCTATGCAGGCAACACCAGCTCAACAAGGACCAGGTCAACAACAGCCACCGCCTCCACTTCAGGGTGATGGTGGTGGGGCACCAATGGGAGATTCTAAGCCAACGTCACCCTCACAAAGTAGGAAACGACTTGATCAGGTAGAGGGAGCAGATCTCCCATCTCCCATGCCAAAGAAAGCAGAATACAGTATTAAGAGCCTGGAGGAAGGGTTGAAGAAGATACACGGCAGAAGTAAAGAAAAAGATTTAATCGGTGCTAACGGACAGGATGGACAGAGACAAGGATTGGATGTTGGAACGGATGCTTCACATTCACAGTTGGATCAGCTGTCTGATGATGGTAGTATAGGTGATTTAAGGGAGGACAACGATCCAGGAGTAGTGTCTAAGCAAACTGAACCTGTTAGACCATCAAGATTTAGTGTTAGTAAAGTGAAAGAGGACCCATTAACACAGCAGAATGCTCCTGATTCTGTTGATGGTGCAGACACAACGAAACGCGAACAAACTGATGATGTAGAAGTGAAAGCGACGTTGGAAAAGATAGTAAATAATGTTGCAAATGATAACGTAACACTGAGGTGTAGTTCAACAGCAACGCCAAAGAGTCACAGGAAAAGTCGGTTCCTTGTGACTAAAGTTTCCGAGGAACAGAATACAGAAGAAGGATCATCACAATCTCGGACTGAGGTGGTGGTTGATAATGTGGCTGATGGTGGTGGGGCTTCTAGTGTTAAAGATCCTTCTGATTCTAGTCAACTTAATATCTCTGACCTAGTAAGTAATCAGAAAAAATGCATGAGATTTTTTATTGGGGATGGTGATGTGTTGTCTACTTTTCCTGCATGCAGTAAAGATAGAAAATATTCAATGCAGAATTTTCCTTTACGGCGTCGGATCAAATCAACAGGCAGTTTTGATCTGTCCTATATTAACTGCCCTGAGTGTGGTAATGCCAGCCATCCTACTAGTGGTCACCACGAGGAGGCCAAAGATGTTGAACACAAGCAGAAGGTGGAATCAGATGGTCTCCTTTCAGAGGAGGATTCTGATCGTGGGATGGGTCCCAAATTAAAGAGTGTAGATAGTGGTATTCAAACATCACCAGCATTGCTCAATGTGTTGCCACGGTTATCGTCGAGCAAATCGAAGGTACTTTAAACTTAATTTAAAAGCCACATATACTCCTAAGGAAAGTAGTGCTAGTCCTAGTAAGGAACACCCTATACATCCTAATGATAATACTAACATGTCGTTATCATTAACACTTTACATTTGTGATATAAACCGTTTTGATTTATTTTTCTGTTAAGATGAAAATGTCAATACACAGATAATATGTTATTCTTAAATAGTTACCTGTCTAATTTGAAGTAGAACTAATAACTGCATTTGCTCCTATGACCATTTGGATGCAATCATATGTTGAAGTTCTGAAACACAGGAAGTGATCAAAGCTTATAAATCTGCAAAAGATCTCATATATTCATGACTAATAGTGAATCAGAAATATATAGTAGAACAAATTTAGGGACATAGAAAACATAAAACTAAATAAAACTTTTCGTACCATGGTATCATGGCTGTTGAATAGATGTTTACTAATTGCATACTGGTATACAGTATGTTATCAATGTAAAAGTTACTTGTTAAATATTAAATGATGGAAGTACATATACTACAGGTCTAGTTTAATGGATTTTGTTTGGGGCCTAATTGTGATAACCTGTATTAAAATTAATGGCACAATTCTATGTTGATTTCACCATATCATAAGTTATGACTAAAACCCTGCCTAATCTCTAACATGACAATATACAGAAATTTAAAAATGCTGCTATGGAGATGCTGATAGTCTTTCAACATTTAATATTGATTTTTTTTTCTCAAATTCATTGGTGCTTTGTTACTTTCAATTTGTATGGTTCTTTCACCAGAAATTGGTAATATTGTCAAAGCCAGGATTTCTTTAACCTGTTACTGAAGTTTTCTCAACCAGTATATATATGGGCTTTGTGAATTGCAATCACCTATTTAAAGACTGGAATCTGTGTGTGTGTTAAACTGTTGGTCTCTCTGTCGACACAAGTTTATCCTAATGTACTGCACAGATTTTAGTGAAACTGAACACTATCAGTATGCAAGGCTGTTATTTTCTTCAGGTTTTGCAATCCTCAGTATATTATCATAATGACTGTTTCATGTTGTTGTTCGCCTCCAGTTTTTGTTTGCAAGCTTATCGCCCTTTAACAGTCTTTTCTGGAAGCTAGACCTTACCATCAGTTCTCCTAAAATTTCTTTTGACACCTGATTGAGTTATTACCATCAAATGGAGTTGGCCATGGACAAATCTGTCAACAAACTGTTCCCATACAAATGGGTATTTATTACTAGAGGATTTTAATACGGGGAGTGGGAGATCCAACGTCTGTGCAAAGATTTCAGCTAAGTTGTGTTAGGGGTTTTAAGTTCGCATTTGGCTTACAGTTTGGTTTTTGCATTTCTATTATTTTTTTTCATTTGTTGTTTGTTAAAAGTAAGTTAATTATTTTGGTAAATTCAGAATACTAGATGCTATATATTTTGTTTTGCTCAAAGCTTAAGCATTGTAATTGGTTAAATGAATGTTTCTTTTCTGGACATATATTTTATTGTATTTCATTAACCCTCTTTTGTTTGGTTGCGGTAGGACATTTGTCAATTCTCTGTCACACCTGGAATACTGTTGTTTTGTCAGGAGCTGGATGGTGACCAGAAAGACACTTCCACAGAGACCGGTAAAGAGGAAGCCAAGGAAGATGGGATAGAAAAAGAATTCTTGAGAGGTGGTGATGAAGATGCTAAAGATGCAAAGACGGCAATCCAGTCAGAGCCAACTCAGAAGCAAGTGAAAGATGATTCTTATCAGCGTTTGGTTAAAGATCCAGAGTACAATACCTTGATGATGAGGTATGATCAAACATTACTTGTCATAATTAAATGTGTTGTAAACAAAATTCACAACAGATCAGCTATCATAATACTGTAGAATATGAAATATTTGTGGATGCCTTTCAACTTAATTATCATAAATTATTTTGTTGATAAAAACTTTCACAGTTGGTTCTTGTTAGATTCATTTATTTGAATTGTACATTTATTGCTGTACTGATATTTATGATCGCATACAGAATGAAAGATGTACTTATTCTCCCATCCTTCACAGGCGTGTCTCCCGTTTTAGCCGGGAAAGATCAGCTTGACACCCCATTGGGGGAGATAGCCTCGTGCCGATTAGCACGTGTTAAATTGTGACTTCATAAAAAGGCGTCATCAGTAATTGTGACGTCATCAAAAGTGAAGGACGATATGCATACCCCACATGTGTTTTTGTTTACAAACATGGCTGACTACTGTTGGTGGAGCTGTGACTGAAAAAATCGGATGGGAGAAAAATAATCATCCCCTACCTTGAGGGTGTAACAGAGAAATCTCCAACCCACGGGATGATTTTTTTGGTTGTCTTTCCCTCGGCAGAGCCTCGGGTTAGACAACCAGAAAACATCACCCCTCGGGTTGGAGATTTCTCTGTCACACCCTCAGGGCAGGGGAAGATTCTATTAATCCATATCCAACCTAAAGTTCCTGTTCTAGATATCCCAAAAATACTGGCTAAGTAGTCAACTGCATTAGTGAGATTAATGAGACAGGACAATTTTTCAGTTTTTTTTATAATGGTGAAGATGCCAGAAGGTCACTCTTTCTTTTTTATTAAGACTCGAGTTAATTTTGCAATATGAGCATTTATTTCATTAAGACACATTTCTAAGTAAACTTTATGCTACGAAAACTACAAGATCATCACACAGTCAAACTTATTTTATTTGCGATTTTTGGCCGGATTGCAATGTATCACAATCAGGGCTTATTTAAATATGTGATGATACACAGGCTAAGAAATTTAATTTTAAATGTGAATTTTGGATTTCGTATCAAATTCAACATTTCTTTGTCAATTTAATTACCGAAGGATGTACTGTTAAAATAACCACAGGACATTTTAATGTTCTAGTACAGGTGGATATTTCACCTCAAAACAGTTAGAAATTTGACTCATAAAAGTTTGATTCATGAAATTTTTTCAGTAGTGTTATTTATACAAGGGACAAATTCTTGACTTTGCCATAAGTTTGACACATCGAGAAGTTCGATTTAAGAAAGTTTAACTGTACTTTCCATGGTAACAAAATCAACTAAAGGATATAGTATTGGAGATATTTATTTAAGCTCATATTAAACTTTGACTAAAATGTTTCTTCCTAAATTCCAGGCATCGAGAAGAAGTGGCTAAACTTCGAGATATGATGACTCGACTTCACAAAAAGCAAGATGATGAACTCAAAAATTTCATTAAAGTCAAAGGATATAAGATAAAGTTTATGATTCCTGCTCCACCACCACCTCCTCCTCTTCCAAGCATGGGTAATGGAAATATGCTAAGTCCCTTAAATTTCGCTACGCTTCCAAATCCTCTCGCAACACAGCTTGTGTCTTCGTGTTCTTCTGTGTCTTCATCAGGGAGTATACCTTTGTCTTCAAAAGTTTCAACGAGTGCTCAGAAATCAAAACTAAAGATGGCATTAGGTGATCCTACATCTTCCAAGGATAGTCAGAACGTGCAATTAAACAACAGACAGCCAGAGGGTAGTGACAAGTCTACTCCATTAGATGATGGTACTGGTGTAAAGCCGCAACAGTTGTCTTCGACTTCTTCTACACAACAAACAGATTCAGACTGTCTCGTTGATAGAACAGATTCATTAGAGAGTGGGGAAAATTCAGACCAAAAACTAGACAGCTCTGATGGCATAAAAAACTCTGTGTTTAGTTTGGAGGACGGAGAGGAAAGTGACACAAGACTAAATTCTAGTTCTCACAGTAGGAAAACTAGCACAGACATGTCTTCATATCCTGGAGGCACCAGTGGGGGTAATTTACAGCCAAAGCAACAAAACGTTGCACAGTTATCTGCACAACAACTTCAGTTCCTGTATCAACAACAACAGCAACAACAGTATCAACAAGCGCCATTCTTTTATAGCCCAAGCTTTCAGTTTTCAGGAGGAGGCCAGCTACTTCCTACTTCTGTCCAAACGCAAGTGCCTAGCAATTTTCCTCAAGGGAGTTCGCTATACCTGCCCTCCTCAAGCTTTATGCCAATGGGATTCAATCAACTACAGAGCAATCCATACAGTCAGTATCCACTTTTACCCAACATGAACTACTCCACTACACAGAGCACCACGACCCAGGCTGCGCCCACACAGGCTAAGGACTCAACAAGTTAACTCATTCTTTGCCAAAGGTCTTTCATATGTTAGTGTTTTATGCACCTAGCTACTATATAAGATAACTTACATTCATTCAAAACAGGCTTGACAAGATAATGAAATTATTGATGTTAGTCTGTCTCTGGTGAAGAGGGAACAAAATGGTTCTTCAAGGGCCATGTAACAAAAAGTATTAATATGACTATATTTGTATTTTGCATATATGTGTATCCAACCAGGAAATTGTATAATCAAACCATTATGTCACTTATCATTTACCTATTGCAGGGTGTATTGATTTCATTAGTGGTTGAATGCGAGTATGTTTAATTATTTTGAAATGTAACAGTTTCATCATATTTTTTAATTCATAATGGGTAAAATAAAAATGACAATCTATAGTGGTATTTAAAATGTTTCATGGGGATAATGGATTTGACTTGTAAATACAGCACAACAATTTTGAATTACAAAGGTGAAGAAATTGTTCAAATTGACCTGCTGCTTGAAAGCTTTCATTATAAATGAATAAAAAGGAACGATAAAAGACTCAATACTTGTATTTGTATAGTTAATAAGAAACGACCACCATATGTATTTGTACTTGTGTGGATCTTAATGATAGGCACAAAATTTGTAATCACCACATTTGATTTGAAAGCAGTTTAATGTGCATTGTCATCTGGTAAGTCCTTGTAATTCTTCGATTAAATGGCTATAGAAAAAGAGTGTAGCGTGTAAATATTTCATCTTGAAAAACATGGTATCTGTATTGATTTAAAGGAAAAAGAAATCCAAAAAAGTGCAGGATGATTTTTGATATGGAGTGATAAGTCGAGTGTTTTCCATTTGCACTGGCATCTATCAATGGAAGTTTTTTTTGTATCTAATGAATGTGAAAATTTCACTCGAACTGGATTCCATAAAGTTCAAAACAAAGTTATCTTTTTCAAACCACAATAAAAGGGTAAAATAATTTCTATAATTAGGTCAATGTAATGAAGTAAGGATATTGAAAAGAAATTTATGGTGTTTTTTGTGTTCTTCAGTTTGGTTTGAGATGACCTGCCCTTCTCATATGATTAGTGGAATTAAGTTACTACAGAAACATTTTTTTTTCGTCTTACCATTTTCGCTTCCACATTTATAAAGTTGAAAACCCTTGTCTAGCATATTTTGCTTCAGTCTTAAACAAGTTAGGTAAAAGGTCATCTCTTTTGTGTATTATCTCCCAAAAATCATTCCTAAAATCTGAAACTTCGCACAATGTTTACGTTAATTTTGGAAGATTTGATTGATCATTATGCACAGGGAAATCACATTATATTCATAAATCCAGCTCGACACCTATTGCTAAAAAATGAAAAATGTTGAAGTCTTTTTACAGACTGGAGTGCTGTAAATTAAGTGCATGCTACTTGTATTTGATTGAATACAGAATTAACAATTGCCATCAATAATACATCCAACATTGATATCTTGTGAAAAAATAAGGGTGAAGATGAAATTCATTTTTTTGTTAATTTTGAAATATTACCAAGTGTGTGCTAGTAGCCAATTTGACAGGTAGTTTGGAAAGGTAGAGCTTTGATTAATGGTGAAATGATTTGTGATATACTTTGATAACATTGCCAAGGCGGTTGATTTGAGTTTAACTGAAGTTGTTCAGTATTATTAAATAATGTAATTTGTCAAAATTTATTTTATATATATATGCATTTGAATTGTGCATATTTTTTGTGTAATTCACAAAATACATGCATCAATGTCTCTAGAGCTTTAAGTACTAATATTGTGAAAATACGATAAAAGTACGAGAGCTTTTTCCTGATATTTAAATTACACCCTTGACTTTCTAAAACAGGTAAAATGTTGTGAAAGTGAGTACAATTAGTGTTGTTACAAACTAGGAACTGTGGAGGCATCAGTTCCCAAGTCATCTTTCATTTACTCATTTCGTTACTGTTATACATATTGTTAACTTTTGTGAAAAAGTACATCCCGGTAATATAACGGTGACAGTAGAGTAATCAAATTGTGGCTAGTCCTAATTGTTATATCTACATCTATATCCTTGGAGGTATCAAATTAACAGTTAATGTTGAGAAAACAAATGTAGTGAGTAGGTCTGGTAAACAGATTACTCTTGTTATTTTTTGCTAACAAGTTTTTAATAGGTATCTGTCCGACTACATTTTTTCGCCAAGCTTCTCAACAATTATTGTTGATATATTATTAGCAAGAAATTTCTTTCCAACATTTGATAGAATTATTTCATTTCAGTCGTTCAGTTGAACCTTATCACAAACTGTGATATCCGGAATACCTGCTTTTCTTGAAATCGTTTGTGCTCCATTGTCAGTCTATTGCTGTGTAAGTGTCCTGTTATCTCGATGTGTTTTTCGTCAGGACTTTTGACATAACATGGTTCAACTAATAAAAAGTAAGATGTTCAACAGCAATATTGACTTGATGCCTACGATCAGGGTGTTTGTGCTTTATATCCAAAACTCCAATATAGTCCATTGATCACTCATTTAAAAAATCAAACTTTGTTTTAAAGATTATATGGTTTTAACATGATTTTTCCTAACGATCAGTTCAATAGAATACAGCATGATCATGAGTTTTCAGTACATGGACTAGATGTTGTATCATTTAATTTGATCTTCAAGACATCACATGTTTGCTGTGCATCACCAATTCTTCATAACAGTAATTGTTTTGTCAGCAACATCTAGCTGTACAATTTCCAGATGTCAAGTTTTTGAATTAAGATATTTTTTTCTCAACGAATACTGCAGTAAAATAGAAACGGTGATATCAATGACAAGACAATTATATCCTATTTAGTGATCAACATATTACAAAGTACCTGGTAAACAACTGGAACAAAGACTACAAAGCAAGTATGCTCTGTGTATCTGGTGTTGCTGGCGATCAGGTTAATAGTTGATGTATTCTGGTTTAATAAAAATACAAGTTTTACCCTTATGTTTTCTGTATACTTGTTTGGTCTTATCATTCCCATTCTTAAAAGAAATCTTCTATGTATATATATGAAGGTGATTTTCTACAACATTTACAAGAAGGAAATTCAATGTTTTTGAGAAAGTTTCTGTGCTAAATATAAATAGCCTTTTTACTAGTGAATTATTTCCCCATTACACTCAAATTAGATTTAATCATTTGCTCAAATCTTCAATACTCTTATATAATCTTGACACATTCAGTTAGTGATAAATCATATACAATGTATAATACCAAACTTTCTGGCAATATTTGAATATTGAGTTTTGATAGATGAAAATAGATTGTGTAGATGTTAGAGTTCTACTTGTGTGGCTGGTTTTATTTTTAAAATGCATCAAATTTGCTATTTTTGCTATGTTTTTCTCTTTTCTAACTGATTTCCAAGAACAAAAGCATCAATCTGTTCAACTATGAAATTATTTCCCTCTGTTGGTGAGGAAAAGGTGTGTTGCCTGTAGAAACTTTCACAAATATTTTCAAGATTTCATTTGAAATTTTAGACAACATAATGTCTGCTTTAAAATGATTTAAATATCTATATCCATTTATATCTGGTGTTTGGGCAAAATTATAATTTAACCAACGCAAGATTTTTGTGTAATTGTCTTGAAACTTGAGTTAGTACTGGTAGGTTTCGGGCTTTAATGATTTCAAGGCAACACCTAGGTATATGTAAGTCTGGATGAAGTGGAATGCTTTCAGAATTGATGTATTTTTTCTAAGTGAATTGGAGGAAGTTATTTGGCAGACACTTTTGGAATAAAACTAGAACATAATACATGCAGTTTCTAAAATGTCTCTTAGTTCCATTACAAATAGACAATTAATAGAAATTGCTTTAGAATCTACATCGATTTAACAAGTTTAATTTGTTGCTGTTAAATGAAGAACTAGTCCAATTGATTACATTACAATTTGGTGATCTATTTAAAGACACCAATCTCAGCGATATGATGGCACAAAAAGTGCAAAAGAAAATGTGCAATTTATGAAACTTGCAAATATTGTATGCTATTAATAGTAAACTAGTAAAGAGACTTGAGAATGGTGTAACACTAGGTCTGTTGAGAAACACTAGTTTGTCATGGAGTTTATATGTATTTGTGGTAGAGGATAATATCTCTACATGTGATAATTAAAAAATTGCTGGAGATTGTAAAGTTTTGTTGCTATGTTATATTTTTTGAATCTTTCATGAACAATGCAAAGGGAAGCTTTTTTGCAGTAAAGAGTGCCAGAAACTTTGAATTCTGTCTTTGTTGTTTATGAACTGCAAATCTTTTTAAAGGAATTTTCTGACTTGGATTCTGATGTACAAAAAGATTAAATTTAGGAAGGGGTCAAATGTCAAATCGCCACAATACTTGTTCAGACCCATAACTTTTGAAATGCTGAACATATAAGGAAATTAAAAACCTGTGTTTTATGACAGATGGGGCTGCTGTGGCCAAGTGGTTAAGGCGTCTGACATTCTGCTACCACTAGCCCTCCACCATTAGGTCGCTGGTTCAAGATCTACGTGGGGCAGTCGCCAGGTACTGGTCATAGGTCAGTGGGTTTCCTCTGGGAACTCGGGCTTTCCTTCATCAAAACCTGGCATGTCCTTAAATGGTCATAGCTATTAATAGGACGAACCAAAGTGTAATGACGGGCAGTGTGTTGGGGAAACTTCACTTCATTTCCCATATTTTGCAGCAATCTCTGCCACCAAGCTGTTGAATATTAATCCTGACTAGGCCTTTAGAATCTTCAGGAAAACCTCTTGGAGTGTTACTGTTTTAACCCCTGTGACCTTGAATATAGGTCAAGGTTATTTCTTTTCCCCGTTTTGTAGCAATCATAGCCAGCAAGCTTACTGGCAATTTGTCCTGACTTGAGGGCTTTTGGTTCTGAGTGTTAAACATATTTGGCGCTGTCTGTTCACAATATTGTTACCTTTGCTTTTATTACTATCAAACTTCATAGGATTGTTACCCTTATCTAGGGGTGTCATATCATGACCTTGTTCCAAGGTCATAGGGAATAACCTTGCGATTCTTCCATCTATCATGTCCAACACAACCTTGTATTTTTAGCCCACCATCATCTGATGGTGGGCTATTCAAATCACCCTGCGTCCGTGGTCCGTCCTTAAACAATTCTTGTTATCGGTATTTCTCAAGAATTACTAGAGGGATCTTTCTCAAATTTTATATGTAGGTTTCCCTTGGTCCTTAGCTGTGCAGGGCAATTTTTGAGACTGATCGGATAAACAGCATGGCCGACAGGCAGCCATCTTTGATTTTAATAGTGAAAGTTTGTTATCGCTATTTCTCAAGAAGTACCAGAGGGATCTTTCTTAAATTTAATATTTAGGTTCCCCTTGGTCCTTAGCTGTGCAGGGCATTTTAAGCCATCCATCATCTGATGGTGGGCTATTCAAATCACCCTGCCTCTGTGGGCCGTCCTTAAACAATTCTTGTTATTGGTATTTCTCAAGAAGCACTAGAGGGATCTTTCTCAAATGTTATATGTAGGTTCCCCTTAGTTCATAGCTGTGCAGGGCAATTTTTGAGACTGATCGAATAAACAACATGGCCGACAGGCAGCCATCTTGGATTTTGATAGTGAAAGTTTGTTATCCTTATTTCTCAAGAAGCACCAGAGGGATCTTTCTCAAATTTTATATGCAGGTTCCCCTTGGTCCTTAGCTGTACAGGGCAACTTTTGAGACTGATCGGATAAACAACATGGCCGACAGGCAGCCATCTTGGATTTTGATAGTGTAGGTTTGTTACCTCTATTTCTCCGTAAGAACTAGATGGATCTTTCTTAAATTTTATATGTAGGTTTTTCCTTGGTCCTAGCTATGCAGGGCTATTTTAGAGACTGATCGGTTAAACAACATGGCCGACAGGCAGCCATCTTGGATTTTGATAATGAAAGTTTGTTATCGCTATTTCTCGGGAAGTACGGGAGGGATCTTTCTCAAATTTTATATGTAGGTTCCCCATGATCCCTCGTTGTGCATGTTATATGAGACTGATCATAAAAACAAAATGTATTAAAAGAAGACCCAAACAGATCTTTCTCATATTGCAATGATCAATTCTATTTCTTTCACATTAAGTACTGTACTAGTAAATATGTGAAATGACAAACTCACTTTGAAGGTTGGCTTTCATACTCATCAGTATTAAGTTAAGATCAAAAATTACCTCAAGGTGCATTTACTGTTCACATGACTCGATCAAACAGATTAGAGGAAAGAAGAGAAAAGATTGAACTGACAAAGAACTAATGAAGATGGTACGAAGGTGGGCGCCAAGATCCCAGAGGGATCTCTTGTTTTCCTTTGGTTGGTATCAAACTTAGGAAGATTGTTGTTCATAATCCAAGAGTGTCATGACCTTGACAGTCAAGGTCAAGGAGCATCGACATCTTTAGAATTTTGAGATACAATGGATGTGTAACCTAATACATAGGACTGTTGTCCATAATCCAAGAGTATGTCCTAACTTTGCTTCAAGGTCAAGGTCATAGAGCATCAACATGTTCAGAATGTTCAAAGTGACACAAGCATTGCCTTTACAATGACATTGTCCATCTATCTGTCTGTCTACTGGTCACAAGTTATCAATGCTTCACAACCTTTGCTTTATGAACTTGGGTCATGGTCATGGCATACCCTCGGGTCCAAAGCAATTGTCCTATAGACTTCGACAAAGATCCATGCAAAAGGTAGAATAATGGCCTGACACACTTTCAAAAATGTCAATTTTCCACTATCGCTAACTTGGGATTATGGCCTGGGATCAAGGTCATGACACACTTTGGGTCATGGAAATAATGTATAAACACTAACTTCTGATGAGCCTTCTAGCCTAGCACGAGCCCTAATACAGCCTAACACTGTTTAGACCATAACTTTATTCTATATTTATCTTTCTATATGTTGATCATAGTTCTCCACATCAGTGATCTTCAGTATTTTATCTTTAATGTAATACACTCCTTTTGTAATATCAAGGTCGTTTACAGTGTGTCATAAACAAGAACCTAGGATGTATCGTTGTATAGGTGTATTACGTGTATTTATTTGTGGTCAGCACTGAACTTGTATAGCACTGATTAATCTACAAGTGTTTTAGTGACAAACGTACATGGTTATTCAGCACAATTTTTAGAAAAGTGGAGGCTGTCAACATTCCATCAAGAGGATGTGTGCTTAATCAGAAATGGTCAGCAGACCCAAAGTATTGAAATAGTGTCTGGTAATGCCAGAGTGACAAACATAGGGCCATACCCTCCATTTATACAAAACTGAGTCCCCTTTACCCAAGGATTTTCCAGGCAAAATTTGTTTAATATCCCTCCAATGGTACAGAAGTAGAAGGATTTCAAAGATTTAAACTTCAAGTTCCCCTATTGGGCCCTGCCCCTCTGCACCCAGAGGGGCCACAATCTTCGTTTATACAAAATTTAGTACCCTTTGCCCAAGGATACTCCAGGCCAGATTTAGTCAAAATCCATAAAGACTAATATCCATAAAGACTATCCATAAAGACTAAAATCCATAAAGACTAAAATCCATAAAAGACTAAAATCCATAAAGACTAAAATCCATAAAGCTGTGCAGGATGGGTAGTGTTTTAAAGGAAAAGTTGACGGATGACGGACGGACGACAGACAGATGGACGACGGATGCCACAGTATGGCATAAGCTCACCATGGTCCTTTACACCAGGTGAGCTAAAAATAACAAAATTTTCTTGTGCAAAATATAATTTAATAGGCTTAATATTCTGATCAAATCAATATTTTGTGTCACTTTTAATATCATAAAGTTCTGTAATTATCAGTTTCATATATTGATATCGTAGTTGTGACTTAGATAGTCTAATACAGCTGTGGTACTACAAAGTGCGTTGAAGATCCGCCTTTCTGACCGAGGTAAAGCTTTCTCCATCATGTAGATCAGATGATTGTGGAAACATTGGTAAGTAGTCCCAACAGATATTGCCAACTCCAGCTGTAAAAATAAACTTGGCAATATAAAATCACATACCTGAACTTAGCTCACCTGTATGCATATGACACAATTTCACAATTATGTCAAAGAGCACCATATTTAGGAGTTGGAACATTTTTATCATTATAAAGAAGTTACTATACCACATTCCTTGCTGATATTGAGCACTCTTTACCACTGTAAAAGTGTTGAGATCAAATGTATTTATTATAGCAACAAAACTGAAACACCTATATAGCTGTCCACATTTAAGACTTTACAGTAATGTAGAAGATGAGCAAGATAAGCAAAGAGGAATGTAATAGCTAAACAATTTCTCTCATAATCCTTATTGAAGGCTGTCGGTATCAAAGTAACTGCAGTACATTTTGAGAAAAACATTTATCTGGGAAACTTATATAATATATAGAACTTGACCTTTGACATGATGACAGAGGACTTGCCAACCAAATTGAGCTACTAAATCACCAACTTAAGACAGAAGTTACCTACCCAATCTTTGACACAAGCCACAGGAGTCGTGTCATAGCCAGCAAACATGGCCGGGTTTTCCAGCATTCCCCTAGCAGCCATCACTCCTGAAAGAGAAACAGTTGGGTAATTTACTGTAGCAAGAACCTGCACAACAAAGAACGTTGGGTAGCAAGAACCTGCACAACAAAGGACGTAGGTAAGTGGCTCTAACAATGTTTGGTAGTAAATAGTTGGGTTATTTACTGTAGCAAGAACATGCACAGCAAAGGATGTAGGTAAGTGGCTCTAACAATGTTTGGTAGTAAATAGTTTAGAAATGTAGATGTACTTTTAAAAAATAGTTTGTCATTTTGCATTCAATTTTATTGGTACAATATTGGTGAATATTTAGTTAACCCTTTCACCACTGTAGACCATCATGGACTCATCTAGATCAATGTATAGCAGAGTCTACTTAGTTATTTATCTATGGGTGAAAGGGCTAAAAGATGTTAAGAACTTTTCAGGACTTCACATAAAGGAATGATTAATTTAATTATTTTTTTTTTCACCAGAAAATTCCTTTTAAATGACTTTAACACTGCAGGCTGTTACATACATTTTGGATTGATTTTTCAAAGTCAGACTTATAGCAATGTGTAAATTTGAGCAGAGACCATCAAATCTTTTCACAAAACTTACTGATAAATTGTATTGCCATTAGAATTCACTTAACAAAAAGTTTCAGACAACACTGCTTGATTAGAAATGTGTAATTTTCAAGACCTTTCTCAACATCCTTGTAAAAATCATGGACTTCCCGTACACATCCTGTTAACTTCACACAAGTATCAAACAAGATATCCATTTTTGCATTTTCACATAGAAAATTTGTCCCCAAAGCTGTTAAAGGGAAAATGGACTATGAGAGAAATCCAGAGCATTTTGCACAGTTTTACCAATGAACTTCATTCAAAGGGGCACTAAAGGTCTACTCTTGAAAAAGTGTACATTGAACTTCATTCAAAGGAACACTTGACTTACAAATTTTGTTTGGTGTGAAATCTTGAAATCTTTTCAACCCATCATAATCAAAGTCTCCTCAGAGTGAAGCCAAAAATCACCATAGGACCTTCACCGAACACATGATATTAACCTTCACCGAACACATGATATTAACGTTCACCGAACACATGATATTACCCTTCACCGAACACATGATATCAACCTTCACCGAACATATGATATTAACCGTCACCGAACACATGATATTAACCATCACCGAACACATGATATTAACCCTCACCGAACACATGATATTAAACTTCACCGAACACATGATATTCATCTACACCGTACACATGATATTAACCTTCACTGACCACATGATATTACCTTCACCGAAAACTTGATATTAACCTTCACCGAACGCATGATATTATCCTTTACCGAACACATACTATTAAGCTTCACTGAACACATGATATTACCTTCACCAAACACATGGTATTAACTTTCACCATACACATGATATTAACCTTCATCGAACACATGGTATACTTTCACCGAACACTTGATATTAACCGAACAGATGATATTAACCTTCACCGAATACATGATATTAACCTTCACCGGACACATGATATTAACTTTCACCAAACACATGATATTAAACTTCACCGAACACATACTATTAACTTTCACTGAACACATGATATTAACCTTCGCCGAACAAATGATATTAACCTTCACCGTACCCATGATATTAACCTTCACCGTACCCATGATATTAACCTTCACCAAACACATGATATTAATCTTCACCAAACACATGATATTAACTTTCACCAAACACATGATATTAATTTTCACCGTACACATGATATTAACTTTCACCGAACACATGATATTAACCATCACCGAACACATGATATTAATCTTCACCAAACACATGATATTAAACTTCACCGAACACATGATATTAACATTCACCGAACACATGATATTAGCCTTCACCGTACACATGATAGAAACCTTCACCGAACACATGATATCAACCTTCACCGAACATATGATATTAACCGTCACCGAACACATGATATTAAGCTTTACCGAACACATACTATTAAGCTTCACTGAACACATGATATTAACCTTTACCGAACACATGATATTAACCATCACCGAACACATGATATTAATTTTCCCCGTACACATGATATTAACTTTCACCGAACACATGATATTAACGTTCACCGAACACATGATATTAATCTTCACAAAACACATGATATTAACCTTCACTAAACACATGATATTACCTGCACCGAACACTTGATATTAACCTGTTCCACAGTTTGAACAAATTTCAGATGTATATAGACAAACAGTTGAAAGTATTCAGACAATCAATCTTCTAAATATATCTTCATGAAATCCTACCATTTACTCCAGTGCGTTCCCTGACCATTTGGCAGTCTTCCAGAGATTTGATGTCACCATTGGCAACAACAGGGATACTGACGTTTTCCTTGATGAGTTTTATTGCATCGGAATTGACTGGGTGAGCGCGCTGTGAGGGCGTACGACCATGGACAGTTATCCATGATGCTCCGGCCTTCTCTGCTCTTTGACACAGTTCCACAGTTTTCACCAAACACATGATATTAACTTTCACCGTACACATGATACTAACCTTCACCAAACACATGATATCAACCTTCACCGAACATATGATATTAACCGTCACCGAACACATGATATTAAGCTTCACAGAACACATGATATTAACCTTCCCCGAACACATGATATTAACCTCCACCAAACACATGATATTAACTTTCACCGAACACATGATATTAGTCTTCACCGAACACATACTATTAACTTTCACTGAACACATGATATTAACCTTTACCGAACACATACCATTAACCTTCACTGAACACATTTTATTACCTTTACCACACACGTGATATTTTCCTTCACTGAACACATACTATTAATCTTCTCTGAACGAATGATATTAACTTTCACCGAACACATGATATTAGTCTTCACCGAACACATACTATTAACTTTCACTGAACACATGATATTACCTTCACCGAACTCATGATATTAACCTTCACCGAACTCATGATATAAACCTTCACCGAACACATGATATTTACCTTCACCGAACACATGAAATTAACCTTCACCGAACACATACTATTAACTTTCACTGAACACATGATATTAACCTTAACCGAACACATGATATTAACCATCACCGAACACATGATATTAACCATCACCGAACACATGATATTAACGTTCACCGAACACATGATATTAGTCTTCACCGAACACATACTATTAACTTTCACTGAACACATGATATTAACCTTAACCGAACACATGATATTACCTTTCACCGTACTCATGATATTAACCTTCACCGAGCGCATGATATTAACCTTCACCGAGCACATGATATTAACCTTCACCGTACACATGATATTACCCTCCACCGAACACATGAAATTAACCTTCACCGAACACATTATATTAACCTTCACTGAACACATACTATTAATCTGCACTGAACGAATGATATTAACTTTCACCGAACACATGATATTAACGTTCACCGAACACATGATATTAGCCTTCACCGTACACATGATAGAAACCTTCACCGAGCACATGATATTAACCTTCACCTAACACATGATATTAAACTTCGCCGAACACATGGTATTAACCTTCACCAAACACATGATATTAACCTTCACCGAGCACATGATATTAACCTGTTCAAAATTTATCTTCATGAAATCCTACCATTTACTCCAGTGCGTTCCCTGACCATTCGGCAGTCCTCCAGAGATTTGATGTCACCATTGGCAACAACAGGGATACTGACGTTTTCCTTGATGAGTTTTATTGCGTCAAAATTGACTGGCTGAGCGCGCTGTGAGGGCGTACGACCATGGACAGTTATCCATGATGCTCCAGCCTTCTCTGCTCTTTGACACAGTTCCACAGTTTCCCTAGAATATACAAATTCACTCATATCAAATACAACATGTAAGTTTAGTTTTTAGTTATAATTTTATCAAATTCTATATTTTCCTGAATTTTGTCACGACATATTCCAAGAGTGTAGAGATAATATGTTTGTTTTTAGAGTCAAACCTGGTAACTGAAAATGCTCTTGATTCTGATTTGTCCAGCCATCCTTGCTTCCAGATTTAAATATGTATGATTAAACCAATAGTTTAAAATATGCAGAAATTTATATCAGAAACTCTCTATTTGAAACATACTTGTCGTTTTCTCTCAATCTTATCTTGACTGAGACGGAGAAGTCGCTCCGACTGACCCGTGACCTGGTCTGCGACACCATATCTTTGACTAGTTCTGGTTTCGTGATCAAACAGGCTCCATAACCCTCCTGGATGGCCCATCTATCAGGATCAAGCATATTATCTCAAATTCAAGAAACATTTCAATTCTGCATTAGAATCAAATAAGATGATAAAAGATTAATCTATTAGTCTGGAACCCCCACTTCTCTGCACTTTGTAATAATATATTTCAGAAAAAACTAGAACTGTAAGCCAAAGGCTAACTAATACCCCGCTGCTATATAAACCAGAACTGTAAGTTAAAGGCTTACTTAGGCAAAGCATTGCAAAGCAACCCATAGTCTCCCATCAGTAACAAGTATTCCACACAAAGTGGCATACCTCCATCAAACAAGAGATCCCAAAGGGATCTTGGCGCCCACCTTTGTACCATCTTCATTAGTTCTTTGTCAGTTCGATCTTTTCTCTTCTTTTCTCTAATCTGTTTGATCAAGTCATGTTAACAGTAAATGCACCTTGGGTAACTTTTGATCTAAACTTAATACTGATGTGTATAAAAGCCAACCTTCAAAGTGAGTTTGTCATTTCACATATTTACTAGTACAGTACTTAATGTGAAAGAAATAGAATCGATCATTGCAATATGAGAAAGATCTGTTTAGTTCTTCTTTTAATCCATTTTGTTTGTATGATCAGTCTTAAAATATAACATGCACAACGAGGGATCAAGGGGAACCTACATTTAAAATTTGAGAAAGA